CCCCTTCCCCCGCCGCCGCGCGCGACTGACCGGCCGCGCCCCGCCACGCAGCGGCCGTAGCCCCTCCTCACACAGCGCCACGTCTCCATCTCGGCTCTCGGCGAGCGCCCGACGACCAGGCCCGTGGCTGCGCCTCAGCCCCGGCAGCTCGCCGGGCCCCGCCGGATCCCCATCCCTCCGCCTCGGCTTCGGGCCGGCCGCTAGGAATGCTGGGAGGAGCGTCTCGCTGCAGGCTGGGTCTCCATCTTGCCTTCTGAGGCAATTCCTCGAGCTGCGCGACTCCGAGCATGCGCAGAGCGTGCGCGGGATGCCGTTTCCGAGAAGGGCAAACTCCTGGCCTCGTCTTAAAGCGGAGCAAAGCGAGCGCCGGAGACCTATAAGCAGGCGCTGAGAGCGACGCAGTGTGTTTTTACGTGCTTGAGTAGATCCGAAAGGCAGATATCCACGTTAAGGGAATTCTCTTCTGTGGGTTCCTGTAGAACTGCGGACCTCAGGCAGTTTGTGTGTGTACATACGTATATATGAACATATAAATATGCATATCTTTCTATACATACATATGTTCGTATGGTCTAAGCTGGGCATAGTGGTGCATGCTTTTGATCTCATCCCTTGAGAGGCAGAGACAGGCAGATCCTTGTGAATTCAGGAACAGTCCGGTCTACATAGGCCTGTCTCAAAGGTTGTACATATGAAATTACATGTATTCTGATCTGCAATCTGGGCTCTTATTCAAAGATTGATTTCTTGCTCAATATGGGAATAGTGGCTTCTGCATACTCTCCTGATCCCTCCAGTGATCAACCTGTACTCAGCAATCTAGAGGCCCTTCAACCAACCCCACCCATTTTTGTTTGTTTTGTAAAATTAATGGCTTTCTATGCCTGCCAGCTCCCAAATAATGACAGAATGACCTGTAATATTTATTACTAAGCTTCAAGCACTATAATTGGGCAGTTATTCTGACGTGACTATGCTAGTCTGGCCTACTTCCCAGCCACATGGCCTGTTAGCTGCCATCTTAGCCTCCTCACCTTGGCTGTTCCTTCTTCATCTGTGTCCTCATAGTGACCTTCTCATGGTGGCTCTCTGCTCTCCACCTGGGTCCCCATCATTGAGATAGGAATTCCCACCTTAACTCTCCAGCCCAGCTCTTTATTAACCAGTCAGAAGTGATGGAGAACAGTTTTTACACAACGCTGAGACAAGAGATGCTTCAGTGTGATGACAATGCCAGCAACGTCTGGACTGCAGCCAGATCTCGGGGTACAGAAACCAGTTTGAATACACAGAGCACAGGAACATCCCCCAGCAGTTTCTGGTAACGGAGTGCAGCACTATGACCTGAACCAAACAGCCACCATCTTTGTGAGTTCAGCTGAGCCTGTTTGCAAAGGATCGTCTTAGCTGTGCTTGCTGGCTCTCTGCCTCAGGGCGAGGCTAGTGTATGTAGGCCGGAGAGACTAGGAAAAGCAGCTACATCTATGGGCCACCAGGAAGCTCTCATCTATGCTGGGAAGCAAGAGGTAACTTGCTGGATCAGTGGCCCCATAAGTAAGCTCAATGGACTCAGTGCTTTCCCAGGGAGACCTCTGGTAGAATCAAAATTAAGTTTTGAGATGGGATTAGACTTTGCCTAGGCTTTGCCTGGAGAAAAATTCTTGAGAAGGAAGACTTCCTTTTTAAACATGATTGAGTTCATCATTGAACTCACCGTAGGTTTGAGGATAGTCTGAAGTGCCATCTAATCAAGTGGTTGTTTTCCCTGGCTATGCACACCCCCCCCATAAGCGCCCAGACATAAATATACTATCAACACAGAAAAAAGATACTTAGCTTGTAATGAATTCCATATGTTTCAGCATCTGTTTACCAGAGAAGGGCACCAAAACTGTGGGCAATTTTCTTATTATACATCATACTGTGTACAGGGAAGCAAGAACAAGGACTGAACACATACACTTCTTATTCTAAATCTCAGTAGTGGCTAGAAAGACTCCTAAGGGTCAAGTTTTAAGTTGGGTGCGTTTGCACACACCTGTAACCCCAGCAACTGGGAGGCCGCAGTAGAAGGAGCGAGAGTTCATTCTGAGCTGCTTAGGGAGCTTGAGGTCATAGCGGCACACACTTAGAGCAGGAAACTGGCAAAACTGGGCCAGTCTGGGATCTGTAGGTAGTTCAAGATAATCTGGCAAAATAGTGAGGCCATGCCTCTAACAGAACTGGGGAGCAACTGGGCCAGACTGTACTGTTCTTTAAGGGAGGAAAAAAAAAAAAACCTACATCACCATGGCAACTTGGGCTATTTTTACTCAGAGATGTTAGGCTATCCTGAAATACTTCTCAGAATTTGAAGGTGGAAAGGAAAGTGCAAAACATGTGGTGAGTAAGGGGAGTTGAGCAACACCTTAAATTCTTTTTTATTCTTGTCTTTTTAGGTTTCCATTACATTCTACACATTACCAAAATCTTTTCTATAAGAACAAAATACAAACGTATTTTATACTCTGTAAGTACATATGAGTGACACAAACATATATGTATGATTCTATAGCTGTGGATGTGGGAGATTTTCACTTTACAAAGAACAGAAGAAAATTGCATTAATCAATAATTCAAAATAGATTGTTGTGTAACAACCCCATTCTTATGTATAAAATAAGAAAACCTCTCAATCCTTTATGCATTGAGATCATGTTACTCTTGTTATTGAAACCTTGTTACTTTTGTTATCATTGAAACCTTGTTACTTTTTGTTATCATTGAAACCATGTTACTTTTTGTTATCATTGAAACCTTGTTACTTTTGTTATCATTGAAACCTTGTTACTTTTTATCATTGAAACCATGTTACTTTTTGTTATCATTGACCATGTTACTTTTTCTTATCATTGAAACAAAATCTTGTTACTTTTGTTATCACTGAAACTATGTTACTGTTTTGTTGCTGTTTTTGAGACAGGTTATCTCTATAGAGACCTGGCTGGCCTGGTCAGCTCTGGAGACCAAGTTGGTCTCCAACTCACAGAGATTTGCCTGACTCTGCCTCCTGAGTGCTGGGACTAAAGACGTGAGCCACCACGGCCTGGCCCATATAGCCTTTATCTATAACTTGTGCTTTTATTTCCTATGTGCTGTTTTCTAAAGGATCTCCAAGCTGTTTTTATTTCAAAAAATATTCTTAGATTCACCTATGAGTGTTTGCCTGCATGTAAGTATGTGTATCACATATGTGCCTTGTACCTGCAGAGGTCAGAAGAGAATGTCAGATTCATTGGTACTGGAGTTAAGCATGGCCATGAGCCATCATGTGGGTGCCAAGAACCAAATATGGGTCCTCCGTGAGACCAAGAAGTGTTCTTAATCACTGAGCAGTCTCTCCTGTCTATCTTTCTTTTCTTTTTATCCACCCATCCTTTCTTCCATCCTTCTACATATCTATGTGTGTGTTCCATTGTATCACAGCTCATGTGGAAGTCAGAGGACAGCTTAGGCGGTTGGCTTTCTTCTTCCACCATGTTGATTTGGGGGATCAACTTAGGTAGTCAGGCTTGACAGCAAGTGACTTATCTGAGCCATCTGTCTAGTCCTTAATTAAATTTCTTTTAAAAATTACATTTATTTGTGTGTTTGTGTGTATGTGGGAATGCTAGTCTGTGTGGCATGGGGGCAGAGGACAGCGTGGAGGAGTCTGTTCTCTCCTGTCACCGTCATCCCGAGGATTGAAGTGAGGCGATCAGGCTGGTGGCAACGGCCTTTATGCAGTGAGCCAGCTCTCTTGCCCAGGAGTTAGTTTCAATTTTAGTTTTGGTTAATTTAGATATGGTTTACGTTGACTATGCTGGTTTAGAATTTTTGTTTAGTAAGAGTACCATTTCTGCTTGCTTGTAGACATTGTTTTTGTTGTGTATGTATGTGGTTTAACTTTATTCTTTGCTTTTTTTAAATTTATTTTTCTGTTTTCTTTGTCCCTTTCTTTCTAGACAGGGTCCTACAATGTGCCCCTGGCTGGCTTGGAGCTCATAAGATCCGCCTGTCTGTGTTTGGGAGCGAAAGCACTCACCACCATGACCAGCTGTGGTGATCTGAACGAGAATGGTTCCCATAGGTTCATGTCTTTGAACACTTGGTCTCCAGTTGGTGAAGGATTTGGAGGTGTGGCCTTGTTGGAGGTGTGTCACTGGAGATGGGTGTTGAGGTTTTAAAAGCCATGACATTGCCAGTCAGCGCTCTCTGCCTTGCGCCTGTGGATCAGGATGTGAACTCTCAGCTGCTGCGTTAGCACACCTGCCTGATCCCATGCTCCCTGGCATGACATTCATCGACACTAGCCCTCTGCAGCTATGAGCTCCAATCAACTCTTTCTCCTATAAGTTGCCTTGGTCATGGTTTCTTTTCACAGCAGTAGAGTGACTGAGACACTCTCCCAGAACATAAAACTTTTATGGCTGGGTTAGGGTGTATGTGGGAGGGAGAGCTTCTGTGTTAGGAGATGGGCTTTACTTTATTTATTTCGAGACAGGGTTTCCCTGTGCAGCCCTGGCTGTTCTGGAACTCACTCTGCAGACCAGGCTGACCTCAAACTCAGAGATCCACCTGGTCCCGCCTCGCCACAGCTGGCATCTCATTACCTACTGAGGCATCTCACTGTGGAACACATTTTGTCCCATGTAAGTTCTATGCAATTAAAATTAGCTTTTGTCCTGCACATCCTCAGTAGATAGCTTGAATTTCCTAAATGCAAGTTTACCATTCTATACATCAGCAAGGCTCAGTTTAAACACATGATCCTTAAGGCCATCAGATGAAATTTTAGTTCCTTGTGATTAATATTTTCTAACATTTCTAATATTGAACATAGAGCTTTCACATCATATCAATTTCTCTTTCAAAATGGGTCACCCACTTTCTTCCTGGCTCCTTTTGTGCAGACCACTATGGTGCCATTCAGACAGCCAAAAGGGCAGGAATAGTTTTTTCTTTTTTTTAAACTTCATATCCAGGTGTGGTGGTGCATAATTTTAATCCCATCACTAGAGAGGAAGAGGCAGGTGGCTCTCTGATGCAGTCATGCCAGTCTGAGCTAGTAACTGATTTTTTTTTTTTAATTACAAATGGGACTTTCTGTTACTATTAAAATTCTGAATTTTAGGGCAGTGTGTGTGTGGTGCACACCTTTGTTCTCAGTACTTGTGAGGCAGAGGCAGCAGATCTCTGTGTGACATCTTCACAGTGCAGGTGGTAGTTCTGTAAAAGCTGCGTGAGGAGACAAGTTCTCAAGCCGAAGGAGCCAGTGGCTAGCGAGCAACAGTTCAAGAATCTGTTTAAAATTCAGGTTTTTTGTTTTGTTTTGAGGTAAGGTCTCTAAGCAGCCTTGGCTTGCCTGAAAGCCACAGTGTAGATCAAACAGACCCTGCACTCTGCCTCCCGAGCGCTGGGGTTAGAGGTGTGCACCATCATGCCAGCTAACAGTTTCCTTTTTTTTAAAGGTTTCAAGACAAGGTTTCTGTGTGTAACAGCCCTGGCCGTCCTGACACTCGCTTTGTAGACCAGGCTGGCCTCAAACTCACAGCGCTCTGCCTGCCTCTAACTTCCAAGGGCTGGGGTAAAGGTTGTGTGCCACCCGCTGTCCCACCCCAGCCCTAAAATTCGGATTTTTAATAGTGACAATAAAGTCCTATTTGTGATTAAAAAAAATCAATTATTGGTCAGGTAAGATGGCTCAGTAGGTAAAGGTGCTTGCTGCCAACCTTGAATACCTATGTTCAATCCCTGGAACCCACTTTGTGTAAGGAGAGATCCAACACACACACACACACACACACACACACACACACACACACACACGTAATAAAAAACAAATGATTGACATAGGTTTTGAAATCTTAGATATAATTGCGGTCTTGACTATTCTTTTAGTTTCAATGTTTTTACTTCATCCATTTCAAGGTTTGTTATTAGGTGCAGATATACTTAGAATTAGTCTGTCCTCTAAATGGATTGCATTCTTTATCACTAAACTTGATCTACCCTATTCTTGATGTTTTTCTTGGGCTGTCAGGGCAGAATATATGCTTAGTGCCTGCCTTTGAGCCCTAGTACCACCTAAAATAACAAAATCATCCGGAGAACATGAAGAACAACAAAAGTATTGTTACAGACTCCTCAGTGGTGTTTTCAATGCACATCTTTTTTCTTAAAAAAAATTATTTTTATGTGTGTAGGTGTTTTGCCTGCATGGATGTCTCAGAAGACCTCCTCAGACTCCCTGGAACTGGAGTTCTGGCCACATGGAGCCACCATGTGGGCACTGGAAATGAAACCTGGCTCCTCCATAAGAGCATGGAATGCTCTTGACAGCTGAGCCATCTCTTGAGTCCTGGCATCTCTTTCTGTTCTACTTTGACTAGCAGCGTTTCGTTAAACAAACACTAAGAGACACTGGTGAACAAAGTTTCTAAGGGTGATTCCTAACAGCTGGATGATATAATGACACAAACAGTAAAACTAGCTAGGAAAAGAGGATGAGTATGAAGAAAAAACTTTGATCTGTGATCTTTTCAGTATCAAATGGATGTAGATAGTCTGAGTCCTAACAGAAATTTGAAGGGGGAATTGGCCAGAACTGTCTAAAGCTGAATCCTGGGTACTGATGGGGTCACAACCGTCCTTTTACTCTAGTTCCAGGGGATCCGAGGAGATGTTCTTTTTTATCTTTGTGGGTTCCAGGAATGCATGTGGTGCTCATATATGCAGGAAGGCAAACACTCACACACATAAAGAAAAAAAAAAAAGACTATAAAGACTCAAGAGGTAGGCAGTGAGAGAGTAAACACACAGAGTGGAGATATTACTGGAACGTCTTTCCCTCTGCCAAAGAGGATGGGATTCAGCACCCAAATGGGCCTTCGGGGCTGGAACGGAGGTGTGAGAGGAGTTCGTGCTAAACCATCTTTCCTTTTTCTTTTGTAAAAATATTTTTATTTTTGAGTATATGGGAGTTTTTCTGCACTTAGGTTCGTGCACTGCCCGTGTGTTGGAGGAAGCCAGATGAGGCTATCAGATCCCTCCAGGCCGGACGCACAGGCAGTTGTGTGCTGCACTTGTAGGCCGGGGACTGAACCTCAGCAGTCCTCAGGAAAAGCGACCAGGGATCGTAACCACTGAACTTACCTTCCTCTCTTTCTCTGTTTCTCCCTCTCCCTTTCTTTCCTAATTGTGTGTTCTAGGGGTTAAAAAGAACAGGGAAGCAAGAGACACAGAAATGAGAATGACAAAACATTGCGATGAATATTTGGGGAAATGAGAGCTTTGATCAACTTAAGAGAAAATTGTCAGGCAGAGCATGCCAATCAATAAAAACTGGAGATTCAAGCCGGGTGCAGTGGTGCCCGCCTGTAATCCCAGCGCTCGGGAGGCAGGGGCAGGAGGATCTCTGTGAGTTCGAGGCCAGCTTGGTCTACAAAGCGCGTCCAGGACAGCCAAAAACAAAACAAAGCAAAACACTCGGAGACTCTTTGCAGTGACTTAGAGAGTCTTCCTCCACGGAACCCCCACAATGCACATTTAAGAATCTAGGAGTTAAAAATACAAACTTTTTTTTTGAGAGTCTTGCTATGTAGAGCAGACTGTCCTGGATCCTGTGACGGAGCCTATTTTGTCTGTTTCGAGACAGGGTCTCCCCACGTAGCTCCGGCTGACTCAGAACTCACTACTGGACGCCTGCGGCTCTCAAACTGTCCGCAATCCTCCCGAGCGCGGGTGCCCTCTGGCGTAGGCTTGCACAGGGCGTGACGGAGGGGCCCTCCGGGCCGTGGCTGGCAGGACAGGCTGCAGGCGAGAGGGTTCATCCAGGGCCAAAGGGGACGTGTCTGTCCGGGCCCCGCGATGCTGCTGTGCACGGTGCAGACCGCCTGAGCAGGGAAGGAGGGGACCTTGGCTCGGGTACCTCCGCGTCCGCCACCCGGGCCTCAGCGGCACGGGGCGGGCGGCCCGACCCTCGGCAGCTCACAACGTTTAGAAGATGTCGAGGCCAACGCCCGAGGAGGTTTGGCAGGACCGCCTCGGGCCTCCCCAGCGACCGAGCGCGGCGCTCGGCACCGCAGCCGCGGCTGGAGCCGGGAGGAAGGACCCAACGTGGCGGCCCCGCTTCCCCGAAGGCGGACGGCGCCGACCCGGAAGTGCGTGGGGTGATCCGGAAGCAGATCCGCGCGGCACCCACCCACCCCGCCCCAGGAGCCACCGCCCCCTCGTCGCGGAGCTCGGAGCTGCGTGGGGTCAGCTGCGGCTGGGGCGGCCCGATGGTACCCAGCTGGCGGGAGCAGGGGCGGAGGGAGGATGACCTCTCCTTGGGGTCACAGTGCGGACCTGGCCCGCTTCTACACCGTCACCGAGCCCCAGCGACACCCCAGGGGCTACACGGTCTATAAGGTTACCGCCCGGGTGAGTGCCTGGATGGGGACACCGGGGCGGGGCACGGGCTCCAGACTGCGGCTGGGTGCGGCGAGTGGCAGGTCGGACTCGCGGGCGTGGAGACCCAGACCGGAGGCTCTAGGCAGTAGACGTGAACTCCAGGCAGGAGGTGGGGCTCCGGGGTGGAGACGCTGGCGACCCCTGGCAAGAGACGGGACTCTAGCACGGAGATGCCACGGACCCCACGCCGGAGACCGGACTCTAGGGGTGGAGATGCTGGGGAGCCTGGCCAGGAGCTGGGATCCCAGGGTGGAGATGCTGGGGACCCTGGAGCAGGAGATGGGACCCCAGAATGGAGGTGATGGGAACGCTAAGGTAGACGGGGTGGTGGCTAGGTAAGGGATGCCAGGCTCCACCCGCCATGCTGGGGTAGAATGCTGGATGCTTTAAATGGATAACCTGTCAAGTCTCTGCCCCATTTGGACTTTCTCTTAGAATGAAATTTGCAGAAGTGGGCTGGCTTGTTCCAGAGGGAGAGAACACATTAAAAATGTTGGAGGGAGTGTTGTGTGGCTTATGTAACAGAAGAGGTGTCGCCTCTTACTCAGTGATGGGTCTGCTTTGAGGCGGGCAGGCTACCCATCTTGAACCTCCAGCCTTGGCTTCTGAGTTTTTTTGAGTCTTTTCAGAAAAAGGTGCATGTGTACTGAGATGCTCTCACCTGAGTTGACTTGAGGGCAGGCTGGTCTGGCAAGATGGCTCAGCAGGGAAAAGTGCTGCTGTCAAGCCTGAAGACCTGTGTTCCATCCTTGGGTCCTATGTGGCGGAAGGAGAGAACCTGCAAGCTGTCCTCTCACCGCCAAAGGTGTTTTCCACCCAAATGAATACATGCTAACAGTTTTGTGAAGCTGTTTATGTAAGTTCACTGTTGCAAATTTAGCTCTGTTTTCTTAAATTTTGTTGCTCAGCTTGCATTTTGGAAACTACTCCTTTCCCCGGGAAATGGTAGTAATAATAACATGAAGTATACCTACGAAGGGCTTATGTGCATGCTAGGCATTTTGTGTCCATCCCCAGTTTAATTTTCAACTTCATGATGAGGAAGCAGATTCGAGGAAGTTTAGGGGTTTGGTAAATTTTCTGTTGCAAAGCAGTAGCAACTTTGGGCCTGGAGACCAGTTCTGCTTAACTCTTGAGATGAATAAAGTCTCACAAATGAACTCGATTGCTAGTGTTAAATTTTGAAGAAGTAATGATAGTACAATATACATTTAGGAAGCACTCAGAAGGCAGGCCCTGACACAGCAGATTGGGCAAGCTGAGCTTGGGACATCCAAGTGGCTGGTGGCATTTGAAAATGGTGCAAGAGTCACACAAGTGCAGCGCCAGTGAGTGAGACGCTTGTTAAGACAGCAGGAAGACCACCTTCACGAAGAACGGGGAGGACTTTGCCTTCCCTGTTGGCAGTTCGGATTGTTGTCTCGGTGGCTGGTTTTCTCTGAGAAATGTAATGACATGAGGGGATTCTTCCTGTTCTGCTCTTGAGGCTTTGTTGGTCCCTGAGATCTACGGTCTCCTGGCGTGCAGCCTGTCGAACCACAGCTATCAGCAGATAATGGCGTCTACCGTACACGGAAGCTGCTCGCTGTAGCAGCGGCATCGCGTCAGTCTGCGCTCAGTTGCCTCTCAGCAGACAGAGCAGGTCTCCGCATAGGTAGTGGTTTCATCGTTTCAGCCAAAGCCGTGGTTGTTGCCGTTTCCCCACATTGTTGGAGGTTTCCCTTTTTTTCTTCTTCTACTTGAGATTTATTTTATGTGTATGGGTGTCCTGACTGCATGTAGGCGTATGTACTACCTGTGTGCTCAGTGTGGGCAGAGGTCAGAAGAGGTGGTTGAACCCCTGGAACTGGAGCTACAGACTGTAGTGAGCCACCACGTGGTGCTGGGACCCGAGCCTGGGTCCTCTGCAGGAGCGGTGAGTGCTCGCAACCACTGCGCCGCCGCCTCTCTAGAACCTTTCCCCGCTAGTTTTAGGCACTGTATGCGCTGGGTGTGTAGTTCCTGGCACTTGGCACGATAAGGCATACAAGGGGGAGCGTTGGGACAGTGGCATTCACTGTGCTCACACAGGCGCAGTGTTCCAGCAGGGTGCTCAGTGCTCCCACAGCACAGGGAAGAACTGTGGGCCCAGAGCACAGCCTGCTGCGGCTCAGGCGTGCCAGATGCATGGATGGAGGAAGGGGAGGGTGCTGGCGGTGGAAGAGAAGATGGGGCCCATAGAGGCCCGGAGGTCTGAGTGTCTGCGGCGCTCACTGAAAGCCCTGAGAGTGATGGACAGGAAGGTTGGCTGCGGGCAGAGCTAGACTATTAAAGTGAGGAAGCAGATTGCTTCACACTCATGCGGCTTGTGCTGCGCGCGCGGCTTGTGCTTTGCGCGCGGCTTGTGCTTTGCGCGCGGCTTGTGCTTTGCGCGCGGCTTGTGCTGTGCGCGCGGCTTGTGCTGCGCGCGCGGCTTGTGCTGCGCGCGCTGACACCCACTTTCCTCTCTGAGTGCTTGTCCGTATTCACTGCTCAGGTCACAGACTGTAGTTTTTACAGTGTTGGTTTTTTTTGTGGTTGTTGTCAGAGCTGGGGGTCAAACCTGGGGTCCCCAGAGAGACCCTGTGCCACTGAGCTGTGCCCACAGCCTGGGTTTAATATAGATATTTAATATAGATATTTACTATATATATTTCTGTCTGTCTATCTATCATCTATTTATCTAATTATGTGTGTGTGTGTGTGTGTGTGTGTGTGTGTGTGCTTGTGTATGTGTGAGTGTGGGCTCGTGCTATGCATGTGGAGGTCAGAGGATAGCTTGTGGGAATCAGTGCTCTCCTGTCGACATGTGGGCTCTAGAGACAACCTAGGTTGTCAGGCTTTCTCCACGAGCTCTCTCAGTGACCCCACAGCCTGAGTTCTACATGCTTTCAGATTTTGTTTTTCACATTGAGTCAACGTGGAGGTGCAGTTTAAAAATAATTAAGTAAAATGTTTGTTGTTGTTTGGAACTTAAGAAAAACACCTTTCCTCAGGAGAACTAATCGGGTAAGCGGCACTCCCACGAGAACTCCGCAAGAGAAAAATTAGAAGCCTCTTCTGTGTTTCCTCTTCCTGATCGAGCTTTGAGGAATAATTTCTATATTTTTGATCATCAGGAGTGGAGTTAGAGTCATTATATGTTGGACAACAAAAGAAATCTGTCATCTCAAGTCTCTTTAGTAATTTTCTATGTGGGTTTGGCTCCCTGGGACCCGGCTTGAGATAAGTTCATGGCTATTTCCAACAAACTGGCAGACTTCCTGTCACTGCTTTTCAGTTTTGCTTTTAGAGTGAGCAAAAGTATTTCACTAGAGCATGAGATTTCCAGAAGCCCCCGGCAGCCCACATAATGCCCCGCCGCCTTTGACCCCTGGTTCAGCTCCTGCGGGCTCGGGCTCTAAAGAACGGCCTGGCTGGTTCTGCGGTACTCCTTGTGTGTAGTTGCAGTACAGCTTATCTGTCTAGCTGCTGGCGGACGTTTGGCTTTCTTCAGCTTGGGGCTGTTTTGAACGCAACTCCCGTGAACATTCAAGTGTGAGTGGATGGCATGCGAGGCTTTGCTTCTCTTGCTACCACATAGCTTTTAAACATTATTATTACTAGCCAGGAGTGGGGGCACACGCCTTGGACCCCAGCACTCAGGGAGGCAGAGGCAGGTGGATTTCTGTGAGGTCAAGGCTAGCCCGGCCTACAAAGCAAGTCCAGGACAGCCAGGGCTACAAAGAGAAACCCTGTCTCGAAAAGCCAAAACAAAACAAAAACACAAAACCCCAAAAAACAAAAACTTAAAATTTATTATTATTATTATTAATTACTATATCGCTGATTAAAATTTGAAATCAGTGTGACTCTGTCTTTCAAAATTTGTATTTTGGTTAATTAGATTGTTTGCATTTTCATGTGAAATTGAGAAGCAGCTGTCAAATTGGTAAAAAATGCCTGCTTGCATTTTCGATATAGGATTGCATTGAAAATGAAGATCAATTTTAGAAGAGTGTATGAATTAAAGATAACACGCGTCGGGAGCATGTGCACGCACCTCTCACTTGCTGAGCTCTCTGCTCTGAGCGATGCTGTGCAGTTGTCAGTCTTGCACGTAATTTGAAATTTCAAGCTGAGCCTCCGTCTGTCCTCATTTCATGCAGCTAATTTATTGAATGATGACAGCAGATACTTGAACGGTGCTTACTGTGAATTAAGCATTTGATATAAACAAACACATTTGTGAGTGAGTGTTGCTGTTACTTCACATTGCTGATGAGGGAGTCGACTTACTTGTTCTGGATCACTAGTAAGCAGGGAACTGAGTTTGCATTGAGTGAAAGGAGGCTGGTAGCAAGCCCTGAACCTGCTGCCAGATACCCAGGGCACGCTGCATTTCCCTAGATACCGTGGGCGTCCCACCCGGGCCTTCCCGCCTGTTAGAAGTGATAGGCACTTAACTCATGGCGCTCAAATTTTTCTGTTCTTTCCACTGTCTGGTTTTATTCTAGCCTTCTTTTTTGACTATTAATACTGTTTAGCATAAAACTCTTACATGCCAAATTTTAGTAAATGGATTTTTAAAAATACAAACTTGTTTATTGACGTCTCAGACACTCAGGTTTGTTTTAAGCTGCAACTTTTCATAGCATTCAGAATCTTCGTTTTCTTTGAACCTTGGCTGGGAAATCGGTTGCTGTAGTTTGTTGTTGTAATTGGTGAAGTTTGATAGGAGTAAAACAACTCGGGCAAACATTTGGGTATCTACCATTTGGGTGTCATTGCTAGGCTCTATTTTCTCTTGAGACTTGGGGTTCTTTCTCTTGAGATAATGTAGAAAGTGGCTCTTCCTAGCTTTTGTAAAATTTATATTTTATTACATTTGTTTGTTTGTGTTATCATGGAGTCAGAAGACAACTTGAAGGAGTTGGTTCTCTTCTTATACCATATGAGTACCAGGACTTGAA